TGGAAACCCTGTGCCATTCCCAAACACCAGCTGCTAGTGGCGCTGCCACGCTCGATCGCGATCGATCATTGGCAAGCTCGTCTTTGCGCGCCAAATTCACTTCTGTGGCATGGATTGCCGACGTGGCAGGGAAGAGCTATCGCCCTACATTCTCGTAAGTGAGCATTCTAGCGAATGGATTCGTCATACGGCACGATCGCCACGATTCCATCGTCTCTATCGCTCGGTATGGTGTAAAAATTTGTCAGCCATGGATTTTCTTTCTTCGCAGCTACTCAAGTAGGATTTCGATGAAGAAGAGGAAGTGGACGAAAGAAGGACGATGACTTCGACGTTGACTAAGATCTCGACTTTGTGAGAGATCGTCCCAAGGGCGAACGAATCCCAATCCAACGAGAGAGAGCCTGCACGAAGAACGCTAACAGCGAGGAGGACGAGGTACTTTCGCGGAGAGCTAGACAAGTACTTGAGGGTCACAAACAAGTACGACTACACGCCTCGCTTCTTCTCCTGCGAGTGAAAGCGAAGCCGTCGACGACATATGGGATTTACAAGATCGAGTATATCTCAGACAGTTCTGCTCTACGCATACAGGGTGGTGAAGGCCAGAAAGATGGGACCGGGTACTGATTGCACAACAATACCCATCGACAACATCTGGTTCTACAAGACGCAGAAGGAACTGAGATATGGAACTTACGAGTTTCCATGTAGCTTTACAGTTTACGTGACGAAGAAGAGCTTCAAGAAGTAGCGGTCCTCTACAACGAAAGCTGGTCTGGCTAATACCCTTCGCCTTCGTCCTCGCCTTCACCTTCGGTGGAGTCGGCGCTAACTTCCTCGTAGTCCTTCTCCAGAGCTGCCAAGTCTTCTCGAACTCTCCTTCCTCCATCCCCTCGCCGACGTACCAGTGGACGAAGGCACTGCTTGGCATACATGAGGTCGAACTTATGGTCGATCCTGAGACGTTGTGCCCAAGGACGTCAATTCGGCCGTGGGAACCATCAAGACCAAGAGAACCATCCAGTTTGTCGACTGGTGCCCCACCGGATTCGATTGCGGGATCAACTATCAGCCTCCGACTATGGTTCCTGGAGGTGATCTTGCCAAAGTCCAGCGGGCTGTCTGCATGATCTCCAACTCCACCAGCATTGCACAGGTCTTCTTCCTCTGTACATGAGGCAGCAGGCCATGTACTTGCCGTGGCGGGGATCGCATTTGGCCATATAACGAATCCATTTGGCCATCATCGACGCAGGCTCGAAAGTGGTGGACGTGAGCTCCGAGACAGACGACAGCTGCTCGTGGTAGGCGTTCTCGGCCGAGATGACCGGGGCATACGAGGAAAGCATGAAGTGGATACTCGGGTACGGCACTCTGGTCTGGAACTCTGTAAGATCGACGTTCAGTAAGAGCTTGAACTCTTCTCGTTTCGCGTGTGAGCAGCCTGACGGACAGATGCCCAGAGATAAGACTGTAGGAGGCGGCGACGATGCCTTCAACACCTTTTTCAGCGAGACCGGAGCCGGCAAGCACGTCCCCCGGTCCGTGTTCCTGGACCTGGAGCCGACTGTCATCGATGAAGTCGGAACTGGAACTTATCGCCAGCTCTTCCACCCAGAGCTGCTCATCAGCGGCAAGGAAGACGCCGCAAACAACTTCGCCCGCGGTCATTACACCAGTGAGTTCGGAGGAGAGAACTTCTGACTCGTTGCCTTGCTTGCAGTTGGAAAGGAGATTGTGGACCTGTGCCTGGACCGCGTCCGGAAGCTCGCTGACAACTGCACCGGCCTCCAAGGATCCTCGTCTTCAACGCTGTTGGAGGTGGCACCGGCTCCGGCCTCGGCTCTCTTCTACTGGAGCGCCTGTTCGTCGACCACGGCAAGAAGTCCAAGCTCGGCTTCACCGTCTACCCGTCCCCGCAAGTCTCCACCGCCGTTGTAGAGCCATACAACAGCGTCATCTCCACGCATTCCTTGCTCGAGCACACCGACGTGGCTGTCATCCTCGACAACGAGGCCATCTGCGACATTTGCAGACGCTCGCCCGATATCGAGAGGCCCACCTACACCGGCTTGTGTCCCAGGTATCCATAGCTTTTCTTGCACCTCTCTTCCTTCCAAGCACCTATCTCATGTTCCTCCTCTTCTTCCGTGTGTCACAGATCATCTCGTCTCTCACGGCTTCGCTTCGCTGAGTGGCAGTCAAGTTTTTGGTTTGTTTCTCACTTGGATGCCGTGCTCCAGGCAGTAGAGCTCCCAGCAGGCGTTGCCGACTTGGATCCCGGCCTAACCGATGTGGATCGAGATGCACTCTCTCATCTTGCGGAAGCGCTGCTGGAATGCTGGGAGTTGCGATGACTCTCAGCAGACACTCGAGCTCCTCAGCTTTGCGTGACCAGCTTTTATACGTCGGTGAGTAACTGTAATTCATGTGAAGTGTTATAGTGGCCATGCCAGCCGAACGATGGCAGTTAGTTACGGGAATCATCACCATCCACAATATATTGCCCAACTTTGTGCCAATCGCGGGTGTAAGTGGGTAAACATCACTTTTTACCGTGCCTTTCGCCTCCAAACGCTTTGTCACAAGCAGCCGCTGACCACCTGGGTTAAGAAGAGATTTGTGACAAGAAACAAGCTGCTACTTACACTGGAGCCGTCACTCCACATTCTCGTCGAGTCCACCATTCCTAGTTCTTCGTCTAGCAATTCTGGATTCTTCAATGTTGATTTGTCTATCAGAAGCAACGGGCATCCACCAGATATGCGATAGATCTTTTTCCAATCCTGCTCACTAACATCAGACCCATCCTCCGTCTGTCAAATACTTGAAGAATATTGCCTTGGCCACATAAACAACTTCTCAATCCAGTCCTCGCGAAAGGGATCGTTGCCATGATCACAGTTGCCTCTCTCTGGCGTGTCATGGTCGGGGCCATGGTCTTGAGACACTCGAGCACGGCTTTGGGCGTGAGAATCTGCGAGGGTGGAACATCATCATCCACATCGCTGAGAGTATTGCCAAGAATCCTAGAGAACATCTCAAACAAGTGAAGTGGCGCCTTGACGTTCTTGTCCACCTCCCAAATGCTCTGGAACCGCTCCCTCGCCTGACCGCCACCTTCAAGCTGCGATCCCTAAAATGCCCATGCATGAGCTTGGCGGGAGAATGAGATTTTGATGGCTTTGTGGCATGCTGCTGGACGATCCCAGACGTGTAGATAGCTTTGCCAGAGCGCTGAGGTCGTGCAATGCGCCAGGGGATCTTCGCAAAGGCAGGCAAATTCACGCAGAGATTGTGCGCAGCCACTTCTCCCAGAACAGATTTCTCCAGAATCTTGTTGTGGAGATGTATGGGAAGTGTCGGAGCGTGGAGGAGGCCTGGCGGGCGTTTGAGACGATCGAGCACCGCAACATGTTTTCGTGGAGCATGATAATCACGTCATATGCCCACAATGGGCATCTGCTCCAGGCACAAGAAGTGTTTGATTCCTTGGTCGAGAAAGATACCGTGGTTTACAATACCATGCTAAAGGCATATGCTGAAAACGGTGATTTTTCAGAAGCCAGAGTTTTGTTCGATGAGATTCCAGATAAAGATGCGGTATCATGGAATACTATGCTTTCAGCATATGCCAAAATCGGGCATCTTGATCTTGTGGAAAACATTTTCAAAGACATGCCAGTTAGAACTGTGGTCTCGTGGAACACCTTGATCGTTGCGTACAAAGGTGCTTGTCTTGAGAGAAGCTCTCTTGGAGCTTTTGTTTCCATGGATCATGAAGGCTTTCAGCCCAACAAGATCACTTTCGTTGGAGTGATCGACGCTTGTGCCCAGGGAAAGATCCTCGACTTTGGAAGGTTGGCACACGAAGAGGTATGTTTTGCTGGACTGGAGTTTGATGTTCCCATCGGCACTGCTCTGGTAAAAATGTATGGAAAGTGTGGGAACATAAACCAAGCCATGGCTTTGTTCCGCAAAATGCCGCTCAAGAACACGATCACTTGGAACACAGCGATAACAATCCATGCGGAGGACGGGAACCTCGACGAAGCGTACAAGATCCTGCGAGAGATGCCACGGCCAAGTGTGGTCTCCTGGAACGCACTGCTCGCGGGGTATGCCTCTCAGATCGATCAAAGCGGCGACCCCCTCTCCCGAGCTCGAGAGATTCTGGAAAAGATGGCGGAGCGAGACGTGGTTTCCTGGACGACGATGATCTCCTTGTATTCTCGGAATGGCCTGAGCAAGGAAGCGATGAGTTGCTTCAAGAGAATGGATCTAGAAGGCATCAAACCCGATAGAATCGCGCTGGTGGCCATCGCCGAGGCATGCACGACCCTCGCAGACGCTGAACACGTCCACGAGATCGCCAGCCATGAAGCCACTGTGGAATCCGACGTAGAACTCGCCGCAGCATTCGTCAACCTGTATGGAAAGCTCGAGAGCCTCCACGGAGCGAGCAGAGTCTTCGATCGAGCTCGGGGCTTCTGCAAGCCGTGGAGCAGCATCGAGACACACCTGTGGAACTCTATGCTCGCGGCACTCGTCCACAGCAAGGCCGCCAGAGATGCCATCGTGTTCTTCCGCAGGATGCTCCTGGAAGGGGTTCGATCCAACGAGACCACTCTCGTCACCGTCTTCGAAGCCTGCAAGGCCTCCTCCTCCGCCTCCTCGGCGCTGCCACTGCTCCGGTGCTTGCAGGAGAGCGTCGTGAGACGAGCTTCTTTCGCAGCGAGCACCGTGGTCGAGACTGCTCTCCTCGGTTGCTATGGAAAGCTGGGAGCTCTAGCGGACGCCATCGCCACCTTCGATGATCTTCTCTCCAGCTCGCAAAACGTCGTCTCTTGGACGGTGATGATCTCGGTGTGTGGCGAGCTCGGGCATCCCAGGCAAGCGCTCGTGCTCTCGCGGAGGATGCTCCTCCACGGCATTCTCCCCGACGACACGGCCGTGACGACGCTCCTCTCGGCGTGTAGCCACTCGGGCCTCCTGGACGAGAGCTTCCGGCTGTTTGGATCGATGAGGCCCGACTTTGGCGTTGAGCCGCGGATCGAGCACTACGTCTGCGTGATCGATCTGCTGGGACGAACTGGACAGCTGCTCGAGGCTGAGGTCCTGATGAGCAGCGGTCACTTTGCTCGGCTCGGCCTGGAGGCGAACGAGTGTGCGTGGACGGCCTTCCTTGGAGCTTGCCGAGATTTTGGAGACGTTTCTCGAGGTGCCACTGCTGCCAAGGAAGCATTTGTCTCGGATCCGGAGAACTCTGGCCCCTACATGCTACTCTCGGACGTGTGCGTAAACTCTGGGTGATCTTCTTACGTAGAACAAAGCTTTTCTTCGAGCTCTTGGGCGATCTTCTGCCATTATTCCAGTGCTCGGAAAACGATCTTCTGTTGTACCTATTCCTGCGAGACGTCGGTGCTCATGTTCCAGAACTCGTTCTCTAGCTGCAGTACTCGAACGAATGCGTCTTCGCCGCGCTGCTTCACCTCGTTTGATCCTGTGCTCTCCACTGCTGCCTCTGCAATCGATCTCAGCAAATCGCAGTAGCTGCCGAAGCTCGGACTGCCCCAGCGCCCGCAAGCTTCCACGAGTTGATGTGGTGTCTTAGAGCCTGGTTCGAGGCAAAACGCGAAGCTCTCGAAGTAGACATGCTCAATGGCCCAAAAGGTGGACAAGACGACGGCATAGTCGACGCTTGGTTGGCTCATATCCTCCAGAAATCTTTTATGGATGTCCATGCAAGAAGAACAAGAAGAAAATTAAAAACATGTAAGCTCCGGGATGTATGATCCTACCTGCAGTAGTCCTGTGTAGTTTTCTTGGGTGGCAGATCTTCTAATCCAATTTTCCAGACCACGGCCTCCTTCTGAAACCACTGGAGCTCGTCATGAAGCGCGGAAGCTCCGGACAACAAGGTCATGAGCGTCTCGTCACTGGCATTGGACGGGATTTTGGCCAAGATGCTTCCAATGAAACGCACGAACGCCTTGACAAAGATGTAGTCTTGCCCCTGCAAAGAAAACATAAAAATGACTCCAGATCTATCACAAAGAGAAGCAAACCATCTGGAAACTTACCAGCCATCGTTTGTAGCAGCTGAGATCCACAGAGCCATTCCGGATGCTTACAATATAAGGATGATGAGTTGTGGCTTTGTTGTAGAGCTCAGCGTGGCGAGACTTCCACTGCGAGAGCGCCATAGCCAAGAGCCTCTTCTCCAAATGGTGCCCTACTAAAGTCAACCAGGGTGATGTTTATAAACTTTTCCCAGTGTCAATCGTCCCTTCTCCAAAGCTTCCGAAAGATTTCATCTTTCCTAGCAAAGAGGCCCTCTCGATTCCCATAAAAGTTGTTGGATTCCCTGTTTCGATCTGTTGCTACCGTAAAAAAAACAAAGAAACTCTCCTGCAAAAAAAAGAAAAGAAAAGTTTTGGTTCTTCTCTTCCTCCTCGAAGAAAAACTTACGTGTGGTGTGCTGGTATTTAGTACTTCCGGCTTGCGCTCGAGAGCTTGGCCAGCAATGCCTCTTGTTCTTGCTTGACAGCCATGAGAGACAGATGTTCCACTCGCAATCTCTATGAAAGAAAAATGTAGTAGGAAAGAGAGAATTCATATAAAGAAAGAAAATTGCTACCTCGAGTTCTTCTTTCCTTCGATCGATCCCTTCTTTCACGACCTGCAATTCCTGCGGCCGCTTTTCCATCTCGTCTCGCACCAAATTCCTTGTCCCAATCGCGCACAGCTTCGCATTCTCGATCTTGGACGCGCGCTCGCCCACTTGGCCCAGAAGCTCTTTCACTAACTGCACAAAAGCACCGATTCCATCGACTAGAATGCCAGGAAGAAAGACACACGCGATCCATCAAGAATGCGAGTGATCTTCTTGCATGATCACACCTTGTTGAAGCTGGAGACCTTGGATCGGAATGCCGCGCAGGAATTCTCGACGGAGTGGCAGCGCGCGTACGTGTCGGTGGGCAACAGGCGCACGCACGACTCCTCATCGATGCTCACAAGCGCCATAGCCACAAACCAAAACCAAAATATTTGTGCCTGGAACCCTAACGAATGTTCCTCATGGAAGAAGACGATGCGTGGCGGTCGTGGCTGGATTCCGCGATCGCGCACTTGATCGGCTCCAAGGTCCTTCGATCCATGCGCACTGTGAGTGTAGCTAGCGGCGCCAGCAGCGCCACTAGCAGCGGCAATGCAGGTGGATTTTCCGATAATCGAGGCGCCTGGGAAGATCAAGCGGTACAACTCCAAGTCTCTCCCGAGACATTCCAGCGCTGGATCGATGATGAGCCTAGCACAGGTACGCAAAAGAGAAGTATGAGGAGTAAACTTTTTTGTTTCTCAGGAGAATCGTGTGGAGAGAAAGAGAGAATGCGATCGCTCATCCAATTCTCTGGAAACGATTATCTTGGACTCTCCATGCATCCGGCTGTTCGCTCCGCCGCATCCAAGGTGCTAGATCCAGTCTTTCATCTATCAATTTTTCTCTACTCCTGTCCAGGCTGCTATCGAATTTGGAATGGGACCAAGAGGCTCTGCTCTTATTTGTGGCTATACGATTCATCACAGAAGACTTGAATCGGCTATAGCATCGCTTAAAAACACAGAGGTTCGTTTCTTTCTTTTTTTCTGCTACAAGCTTTTTACTTTTTTTTTCTTCTTCTGTAGGAATGCTTGCTGTGTCCTACAGGATTTGCAGCTAATATGGCTGTTATGACCGCAATCTCCATGAATATTCCAGGCTTCTCCTCGCAGAACAAGATAGCTATCTTTTCCGACGAGTTAAATCATGCTTCGATCATCGACGGTGTCCGGGTGGCTCAAAAGCAGAATAACTCCGAGGTTTACGTCTATTCCCATAATAACATGAGAGAATTAGAAAGCAAGCTGTAAGTTCTTGTCCTCTGGTGACTTGCGTGTTTTAATCCTTTCTCCTTTCTCTCTCTCTCTCTCTCTTTTATGCAGATCTTCCTGCAAACTTGAGAGGAAAGTCGTGGTTACTGACAGGTAAGTCCACTTTAAAATCAGTCAAAGCTCTCAACCAATCTTTGGTGTAGTCTATTTAGCATGGATGGAGATTTCGCCCCTCTGGACAAGCTTGTCCAACTGCGGGATAAGTATAATTTTGTTCTGGTTATCGACGATGTAAGTTTTCTGTATCATCTTTATAGTTTTAGAATTGGAGTGCACCTGCAGGCCCACGGAACTTTGGTCTGTGGTGAAAATGGAGGTGGAGTGGCCGAAGCTTATGGCGTCGAAGAAAAAATCGATGTTTATGTCGGCACTTTGAGCAAAGCATTTGGTTGTCAGGGTGGTTTCATTGCTACCAGGTATGATATAATTCTCTCTCAACCGTTTCTTAAGCATTTTCTCTGCAGTCGCAAGTGGAAGTTGCTGATGCAATCTAGAGGCCGCTCTTTCGTTTTTTCGACTTCGCTCACTCTTCCCGTGGTGGCGGCGGCTCATGGTAAAGCTGTAAGCTAAAAACATTTTCTTTCTTCATGACCTTGCTTATGGGCTTTTGCTGTATGGCAGCTGCTCTCGTCGTTGCTAGCGAAGAAAAATGGCGGCGTCAAGCACTGTGGAGCAGAGTAAAACAATTTGCTCATTTGACGGGGCTAGACATACAAAGTCCAATCGTTTCGGTGGTCATTGGCAGCGAGAAAGATGCACTCCTGGCGAGCAAGTAAGAGCCATGATTTTCCTTTTTCTTAGTCCTCGTGTTGCAAAGTTCAAACGACATTTCTTTTTCGTTACGTAGGGACGTTCTCAAGGCTGGTTTTCATGTACTGCCAATTAGACCACCAGTTGTTCCTCCAAATTCATCCAGGTAACCACATTTTCTCGTATCTAGAACTCACTGCTTGCTTCTTATGCTTATGTCTAGGCTTAGAATCACTTTGTGTGCCTCGCATACAGAAGCTCATGTACAGGCTCTATACGAATGTCTTGCTCCATGGCTATCACGAAGCAAGACGATCGGCTTGGAGCCTCTCTCCAAGCTGTGAGACACGACAGATTTACAGGCGATTATACGAAGTTACTTTTTTCTCTGGTAACTCAAAGAATCACATGCATAACTCTTGTCTGTCACATGTAGAGACAGGAGAAAGTTTGCTTCCAACGCAAATCTTCTGTTCCCGTCTACTTCAATTAAACGAGGTAAGTTCTTATGTTCTTGAGAGTTCTCACAGATAGGATCTAATCGTTTATCTTCAGACGTGAAAATGTCATTGGTTCTGCTGTTGCTGCTGCTGCTGCTGCTGTCCCTGGTTGTGCATTCGGTCCCAACGATCGGTGCCAGAGGAGTACTTGGCAAAGATGGAAACTCCATCGCTTATCTCGCAGACTTTAGAGTGAACTCCACCCCCATCTTTGACGAGAGGCCCGACGTCTTCTTTGCGATGGACACGAATGCGCAGCACGTCAGACTCTCCAGTAATTCGTGCGCCGCCGCCGACACACGCATCACCAAGCTGGGCCTCTGGTCGCTTCAAACAGCACAAGATGGCCAGGTTGCAAGTACGTCCGACTCGTTCCTCGGCAACGTTGACATCCTCTGCCGCAAGAAAGGCCGCAACGTCGCCCCGCTGAGCTCCAAGAACACGAGCTTGCCCGCGCAGCTCTCCAAACTCGAGAAAACTCCTCTCAGGTTCGCCTATGTTCTTTGGGATCAAACGTTTGCAACGCTTCTCTTTGGCAAGACGCTGTGGATCCAGTACACAGGTCTGGAGAGGACAGTGCCGGTCGTGTTCGTCCACATTCCTCTCAAGCTGGACGCCACTGCGGCGAGCTACATGGTGAAGCTGACCGGCATTGGATTCAAAGAGTTTTTGATCCGGCAGAAGTACTACGTCGAGATCAGCGTCACCCAGCGCTTCACCACTCTCCCGTCCAAGATCTACAGCTTCATCGTGAATCAGTTCCAGCAAGAGGCAAGCGAGAAGAAGATCAAGCGAGTCTCCGCCAGCGCCTACAACGGAAAGCTGAGCTTGTGCTACCAGATGAGGAGCTCCGACATTAGAGGATTCCGCAACGTCACCATGGTGTTTAGTAGCAAGTTCAGGTGGAGCGTTCCAGCGGACAAGTCCTTGGTGCCAAAGCCCGGCGCGAGCAACGTGTTTTGCCTGGCATATCTGCAAGCTCCTGGGAATGGCAGCCATGGAGTTATTGGAACGCTCCAGCAAGAACGCCGCGCCATGGACTTTAACTTGGAAACGAAGCGCTTGGGTGTAAGTTTTCCTCTCATTGGATCCCTCACCACTCCTTGAGAACACCTTCTCTCTTTGTTTAGTTTTCCAATGGAGCTGGAGCTCGAAAATCATGTGTTTTTCCTCTTCTTCTCCTCGAAAGAATGAAGAAAACCTTCTCTTCCGTAGATCGGCTATAAAGTTTTGGAAGCAAAAGAGTGTTTTCTCTTGAAAATCTTTGATCTTTCTCTTCTCCATAGTTCTCTTCCCTGGATTCCAAGTTACCATTAATGTTTTTGAGCGTATGAGACCACACACAAATACCATGTGTGTAATATCGCGAAGCTATGGACGAAACTTACTCGAAAGGCTGCCACCGTCTTGCTAGCTACACGTGATTGACGCGATGTTTACAAGTCCAAATTGGTCGCCGCGCACTTGACTTCCTCGCTATAAAAATCCCGGTCCTCATCTCCTCATCCAAGCAGATCTAGAGAACTTCCATCCAGTGTTTTTCAAGTTTTCGTAGGCTGTCTCTAGCTAGTACGTCGCGGATTGATCTTCTTATCTACTGTTCTTGGTGTGTCTTCTAGCGAAAATCTTGCTGGAAAACGATGTCGCCACTGCCAATACTTCTATCACTGCTGCTATCACTGCTGCCCCTTTCAGTCCACTCGCAGATCCCGACAGTGGACGCCACGGCAGTGCTCGCCAGCGATGGAAACTCCATCACTTACCTCGCCAGGCTCGCGCTTAACACCACCCCCGTGTTCGATAGCGCCATAGATTCTCGCTTCGCCATGGACACGAACGCGCAAGTCGTCTCTTTCTCCAACACCTCCTGCCCGGCGGCCAGCAAGCTGGGAATCTCGACGCTCGTCACTGGAAACACTGGCATAGTCGCGGCCATGTTCGATTCCTTCGTCGCCAACATCCCCATCCTCTGCCGCAAGAACAGCCGCAGCATCGCGGCGCTGGGATCCAAGAACACGGCCTTGCCCGCGCAGATCTCCAGAAGCCTTGGGCTTCCTCTTCGATTCGCCTACACGCTGCGGGACACCTCCGCGTCCATCTTCTTCGGCAAGACGGCCTGGATCCAGTACACGCAAATCGTCCCACCCGTGACCGTGCCCGTGGAGTTCATGCAAATCCCTCTCAAGCTGGATGGTGCCGCGAGCTACATGGTGAAGATGACCGGCATTGGAATCAAGGCGTTTCTCACCGGCCAGGAGGATAACGTCGAGATCAGCGTCACGCAGCGCTTCACCACTCTTCCGCCCAAGATCTATGGCTTCGTCGTGGCCCAGTTCCAGCAAGAGGCGAGCGAGAGGAAGATCAAGAGAGCTTCGACGAGCGCTTACAATGGGAAGCTGGGCTTGTGCTACCAGATGAGGAGCTCCGATGTTACCAGGTTTCGCAATGTGACCATGGTTTTCAGCAGCAAGTTCCGGTGGAGCGTTCCAGCGGACAAGTATTTGGTGCCAAAGCCCGGGACGAGCAACGTTTTCTGCTTGGCATACCTGGAGTTGGCTGCTGGGAATGGCAGCCATGGAGTTATTGGAACGCTACAGCAGGAAGACCGCGCCATGGAATTTAACTTGGAGAGGAAGAGCTTGGGTGTAAGCTCTCCCCTCATTGGAGCTCTTATCTCACCTTAACTGAAATTAACTTGGTTTTGCTTGTTAAATAAAGAAATATATAAAACAGCTTTATTATTAAGAATCTATGGTTTTCTAAGCATTATAATTTTGACAAAGATTAGATTAGATTAGGTTATCAAAAGGAATTAATTTGATTCTAGAATATTTTTGGATAGGAGAAGGGGGAGATTTTCTTGGGAGAAAGGGGGGAGTTATAGGAAAAAACTCTTATCACACCTTAACTGAAATTAACTGGATTTTGATTGTTATATAACAAATAAAGAAAATAGAATAGCTTTATTATTAAGAATTTACATAAAAACTATGGTTTTCTATGCATTATAATTTTGACAAAGATTAGATGAGATTAGGTTAGATGTTTATGACCTGTATGAAATAGGTTAAAAATCAAAAGGAATTAATTTGATTCTAGAATATTTTTGGAGGCAAGGAAGTATAGGAGAAGGGGGAGGATTTTCTTGGGAGAGAGGGGGGAGTTATAGGAAAAAGGAGGAGGAGGAGATGGAGGAGGGCAACAAGGACAAGGATCGTCACTTGCCCATCGCCAACATCGGCAAGATCATGAAGCGCGTGCTGCCGGACAACTCCAAGATGACCAAGGACGCCAAGGATCTCGTCCAAGAGTGCGTGTCCGAGTTTATCTGCTTCGTCACCGGCATCGCCGCCGACCGCTGCACCAAGGAGAAGCGCAAGACCATCAATGGCGACGACATCCTCAAGGCGCTCCAGCAATTAGGGTTCGCGGAGCACGCCGAGATCGTTCGCGTCTACTTCGAGCGCAAGGTCGCGCAGGAAGCTGCCGCTGCCGCCGCCGCCGCCGCCGGTGGTAAGGCCGCTACTCGCTAGGATTTCTTCTTTTGCTTTTCTTTCTAGGCGCTCTCCTCCTCCATTGCAAGGAGCTCTTGTAACACACAAGCACACACACTTTTTTGATACATATATACATTCTTCTGATCACTTTGGTAAGCTCTCTTTGATTCTCTTCTTCTTTTCGTACATGGAGCTGTTAAAGGTCGCCTCAGTTTATTCTTTGCTGGCTTCACAAATTGATTCACTTTTTCTTTTGTTTCTAGGATATATGGTATATGGCTGCTAAATCTAATCTTACAGCTGTGGTAAGTTCCTAGATTATTTTTTTCTGTTTGCTTATTGTTTGCAAATGCGACCTTGGCTTCACTTCGGAGCGATGGCAGACAACTTACTGATGTTGATGAAATTCTCGCTGAACAAGATTGTGTGTGTTAGTGTGTTTCCACTCTGATATTCGCTTCCATCCACCAAGAAGACCGCTTAGAGCGCAGATTCGAGTAACTTTATAGACTGTGGCAAAAGCTCTGTAAGCTGCCAGTAGTAACGAAACCTATTACCATTACTTCTAACTCATCCTGGGATTATTCTATCTTAGAAAATAAAAGCAAGAAAAGTAGCATGATGAGCTACTTTATAAGGTTTTCCCATTAGATATCTATGCTAGGAAGGTTTGCTTCAGCAAACCAAAAGTATTTGGTAAGCATTAGCTGTCAAAACTATTGGAAGGCTTTGTTTTATCCTCTACAGCCTCCACTGACTGATTCTACAGCGTTGCGTTGTGTTTCCTGTCCGTGATCACAACTGGTTTCGCCGCTGCTTGATCTGCCGAGCCACTTGTGATGCTCAAATGCGTGGGAGCCTGGCCAGAGTTGTAAGAATGAAGAGCGGAGCTGAGCAAGCCCGAGAGCGTGGCTCCGGGAACACCACGCAGTGCTAGCTCACTGCTGTAAGCATTTGTTCCAGTGCTCGACTGCCCGATCATGGACGTAAGCGCCGCTGCCAGTGCCGCGGTAAAGTTTGGATCCGCCGTGATGGCAGCGGTGGCGGCGTTGATGGGATCCATCGCTTGATGAGCAGTGCTAGCGCTCATTCTGGACCGGGAAGAAAGTGGAGCTGACGAGTTTTGGATTGGCGCGAGCTCGCTCAAGAAGTTATATGGTGATCTCGTCGAGTGGTGGAAGGCGCCGGTTGTGAGCATTGCGCCTCCCGGATTGTGGGCGAAGGGCGATCCACGGAAGCCGAGCTGGGCTGCAGCGGAGTTGCTACTTGTGAGATCGAGCGTGATAGTTGGAAACGGGGACGAGGCACAAATGGTGGGGTTGGATGATCCCGCGGCGGCCAAATGGTGGCCGTGGTGGTCGGCCATGTAAGGTGAGCCGTTTGAGCTGTTGATCACACTCTCGCTCAGAGTGGAGCCCGAGAGGAGCATGCAAGCGGCGGCGGAAGTGGTGGACGCCATAGCCGTGGCTGCCGGAGGGAGAGGATGGTTGTGACTGCCCTCGTAAGTGGTGATCAAGATGGACATATCGTCGGCACACCTTTGGACCTGGATCATCCAAAAGAAATTTCTCAAAGTAAGAATTTGAGGAAACATACAACTTGATCACAAGAAACTCCTGGATTGATCCGAGTTTCTCCGACATAGCCTGTTTAATACCTGCTTTCGAACTGGACAACCCGGTGCTACCGTGCAGCGATAGTACGCTCGGGGGCATGGGTTTCCCTTCGCCATCTTTTGTCCGTACTTCCTCCACTGGCAGCCATCGTTCATCTGCGCGCGTGATCTTAGTCAAAACCAGAAAAGAAAAATGGGCGCGAACAAACTCACGGTTGGAGCGTCTGATCTGGCTCGAACTGAGACCCGTGCCTTCCGGACGACTGGATCCGGGTGGTCGATCGATCCTCCCGCGGCTCCAGCAGCGCTAGCAGAAATAGAGGAGGATTTCATGGCCTTACTGGGCGGATCAGCCCACTCGCCTCCCTCGGATCGATCTTTCTCTTTCCTCCCCGCCATATTGCTCATGATTGTCGTCTTGGCCGCACTGCTGCTCTCGGCGGAGGCGTGATCCTTGGCCATCAGAGCAGGCCTCGCGGGGGCTCCCAGCGATGATTTGAAGTGGTGATCTTTGCTCAGGTGGTCCTGGTGAGTGGATGATCTCCTGGCTGCTCCAGTGCTCTCGGTTTTGTCACTGTCCTGGTCCGCGAGCAGGCTGGAGCTGAGGGTGGTCTTGGAAACCTTCTTGGCACTGCAGATATCGAAGTCGGCGTCGGAGAGGGAGACTGGCCGGTTTCGTCGCTTCGGGCTGGGTCTGTCGGTGGAAGACGAGCTGAGCCCAAGAGTGGTGTTTACTGGATCCGAGGATGATGGCTCCTCGAGAATTGGCTGCATCGCTGGAAACGAAACCTGGATCATTTGAATTCAATTTAGCTTCGATCAAAACTGAAACTTTGGATGGATCGGGAAGAACTCACTTGGGATAGGAGCTGCTTGTGGGTGGTGGCTTGATCCGGGGACTGCTGCTGCTGGGCAGCGGCGGCCATTTGCATTTGGAGGTTGTAGTACTCGCCCGACATATGATTGAGCATGACTTTGAGTTTCTCGTTCTCCTCGTTCATGCGCTGGAGCTCCGTTTGAGCCATCGCAAGCTGCAAGGATTTCTCAAGAGCTCGAATCAAATCTCCAACAGGTACCATCAGAAGGCTTTACCTGGTCTTGCATCTCCACTTTGACGCTTGGTTTCTCCGGTCGGCTACTTTCTTCCACTGTGGGCTTATCGCCGTGCACACTGAGACTGTGTCGGTGCTGCAGCAAGATTTTCAATCTCCCGTTTGACACCACGAGACGAAGAAAAAAAGAAAAGCTTACCATCGCCCATTGATCCGCGAATGTGGCGTCGCAGCCGACCAGACCACACCGATATGAGTTAACGTGCTCGTCTTTGATCATCTTTATTGTCTTGAGATCACCACTATCGCCATCGCCCTCGTGACGATCACGGTCATCCGGAGCTTGGCTGTGATCCTGCGACGGCGTGCTGGTGCTTCCAGGAGAGTGGAGCTTCTCGCCAGCAATCAAGCTTTGCTCTGCGAGTGGCTTCAGCGACAGATCTATCTCTCGATTCTCTTTCACGCTGTCTTGTCCCTTTTCCATCTCTGGCCTGGTACCATTAACTACACCGTGTTGCCTGGATCAGCTTTGAGAGAGAAAGAGAGATAGAAAAAGAGAAAAGAGGGGAAGTTTGGGAAACTTAATACAAGCAAGTTATCAAAGAAGAAAGTCGAAAAGAGTGTGCCATGTACGTAGAAACCAGCAAAGAAAAGAAGATGGATACGACACGTTCCAAAGCGTGATCTTTTGTCTTTCAAAGCTTCAGTGGAAGAGAGCTTTGCGATTCGGTTGCCCTCAATTCCATTGACTCTTCTGACACTGAGCGACAAATAACTATCCTTTCAAAGACTTCTCCGTCCAGGAGATGGATTGCAGCGAGATACAACGACTTGAAGAAATTTTTGAAAGAGGAAGAGAAAGAACACACACAATAGGGGGAGGATCCTAGAAGCAAGAAAAACATTCAACCCTTATAAACCCTCGAATTCAAGGGACTTTGTGGGGAAAGTTTTGCTTTTATTACCTGTTGGCTACGTCGCTGGCACTAAACCATCGTTTGCGGGTCCACGGCGTTCTAAACTCTGACTTGTTCGAGGACTTGCATCTGGGTGCTTCCACTGGATACGGCTACTTGTGTGCATGGGAGCGTCTGGACCGTGGGATCCCGCAACGTGGGCCCGCACGGACGGCCACGATTGTGGGCCACGAGGACTTGCGACTTGGGGACGCTTTTATATTCTTCCCAAGCTTGACCGGTTTTCAACAACAATAAAAGAAAAATTTCTCGTAGTTTTGTGTAGATTAGGATAGTTTGAAATCTTGGTGGTGTTGTCTAAGAAGGGTTGACCGGGATATATGCTCTCTAGCTCGCTTGATCGAATGACCATACGTGCTCGTGAAGAGCCCATTGTTTATCTGTCCTAGCAGAGTCAACGATGATCAATGCGAGTGACATCATCATATTAAAATACGGAAACCACGCATTACAAGCTAAACAAGTAGAGTTTTGGGTGGTGTATACAGCTATACTTACACGCAAAAGTCTCAAGCCCTGTGTATATTTTATCGCCCTGATCACTCCCAAGTCAAAGAAAAACTCTAGTCTCAACTGGTGTCATTAAATCATCCATGGCCACTAAACTTCCACGCGAAGGTACGAATCTTTGATCGTGGAGGACGGATCCATGGTATACGCGAGAAATGAAAATGCCCGTCCAAGGTACAGCATTTGAGGAGAAGAGTAAGAGCTTGCATTAAATCTAATGTGTGGCATTTGCCTCACAATTGCGTCACGTAGAAGTTGACCTTGTTGAAACCATGTACAAGTAACACTATACTAATCCAAACTGTTCGTCGCGACAACATCAGCACATCCCCATATCCACATCGAGCATTGGATCATCGCACAGCACCCATTGGCAAATGCGAATTTTAAGATAGATCCAAGCGTAGGCATTGACCTCACCAAGAACAAAGCATTTGTGCTTCCAAGAGTTCTTAGCATAATACAGGCATATTCTCAGGTCGTTGACCGGTCAGAGACGCCGTTGACTAAATGTTATAGCTAATACTCCAACATTAAGCCATTTCAAACAGGACTTGGACTCTTTGATGCTTTGAACATGGCAATGGCAATGCTAAACATTAGCAAATTGAGCTCATAAATGATACGATCATACTCACACGACACGACCACGTTTGGGCGATCGGATAAAATGCTTCTCAGCATTGACACTATCAATTGTCAACTTGGGTTTAATCCCGCATGATCTCCTTTGGAAGCTTTCAATTGTCAACTAAGTAAGCTGTCATACCGACGGAGACAAGCCAAGAACTTGCGCCTTGATCCCGCGTTTGTGGCTGATTTGGATTTTGACAATATCATCCCCAGCAAGCAGCTATTTGAGCATGTCCGGCCGCCGGATTTGCGTGTGGTGATCATGGACTAGCAAGTCAATCATTCGGATATAAACTAAGCACATCGTGTTAGATTAGATCATTGATTCTACAAGTGACAATGGTTTTCTCGTCCTTTTTTTCTCTCTTATACTTTTTTAGTTTCGATGCATCTTTTCAAAGTCTCCTGGGCCTGGGAACGAAAAACAAATATTAAACTTCAAAGAAAAAACTACCAAAAGAAAGCATTGAAATGGACTTTCTTGGCTGCGCATTGCTCAAATTTGTCTGGCTCCAGCTGCTGGCTTGGAGGTTGTAAGCTGTGCTGTGGCACCAAAACATTAGTACATTACTTCTCCTGTCACTGGAACCTTTGTCGGGGCGAGAGGCCGAGATCCATTTAAAGCAAGTCTCTTGGCACAATTTCTTTATCATTCTTATCACGTTTGTAGCATGGAAAGAAAAATTGTACCTTGTGAGTATAATTTTCTCCTCAGCGTCACCGCCCCAGCGCCACCTCTGGGCAGTTTCGGAGAGTATCACAGCCCAGCACGTCCATGTACTCGCGTTTGATCCAAAACTTGTCGTAGACATCGCCGCTGCTGCTCTTTTTGTACTCGAACAGGAGAGTCGAGTGATCGAACGCGGTCAGCTTGCCGAAACCGTAGTCTCTGTCGCGGACTAGGCTCCATGTCGTGTTGATCGGCGTGAAGTCTGCCAAGTGAGCGCCGGCACCGCCGACTACCAGGTGAATTGTCGCGTTGAACTTCCCGGAGTAGTTCTCGGTTTCCTTCCCCACGCATTGGTTCTGTAGGAAATGATGTGACGGGGTGAGACCTTACACTGCTCGGGAGTACCTGATAGACGGTGCAAGTTCGTTCGTAATGGTGGAGGTGACCATAGAATGCGAGGTCCACTTTGTACTTCTGCCAGAGCTTTTGGAATGTGTCTCTGGCCATGGCCTCTGCGAAGGTGCCTTGTGTGGCGTAGAACCACCCCGACGAGTAGCCAAGAACACGGTGTGCGATGAAGATGAGCCATGGTTGCTTTTGCCTGTCCACGCTTGACAAGCACTCCTCTATGAATTTATACTGCTCGCTGCCTTCCTGCCAGTCATTCTCGGAGTCGGCAACACAAAAACGAAACATTCCGTAGTCAGCTGAATACCTGCAGACGCAATCCAGAGTAAAACAGAAAGTACAAATGGAAAAAACAAACACTTGCCAAAATTTGGCTCTATTTTTCGCTGGCATGTTGAACACTGTTTGAGCTGGAACACCACATTCACCACCGGAATCTGTAACGTTGTAAAACGAGCCGGAGAGAGGCCAATCCCTTTCATGGTTTCCACTGCATGGAGTTAAACGTCAGTGGAGTGGGACAAGAGCAATCAAACCAATGCCAGAAACCTGGCAATCATGTATGGCACTCGTGAAGAAATTCTCTCAATCTGCTCCGTGAACTGATCCCACTGGGAAAGGTATCCATCGGAGTAAGTGATGTCACCGATATGGAAAACCATATCGATGTTGTCAAGATCCTCGTTCAGGCGATCCGTCGTGTTCAGCGCACCAGGTTGATAGTCACTGTACTCGTTCGACAAGTCCCGTTCACCCTGCCAGTAAGGAAACTCAGTATTTTGTTTTTGGTCCACGAAAATACGCACCTTTCCCATGTCACCAAATATGACAACTCGTTGCAAGGAATCTTGTCCTGGAGCTGGAGATGACATGAAATGATTCTCAGGACCGTAAACGGTGTCCCCGCTCTTCAACTTGTGAGCAATCTTATAAAAGTACCTGAGAGAAAGCAAGAAAGAAAAGGAGAAACTTAGGGGAGAGAAACTCTAAAAAAGAAAGTGTATACGTTGTGCTAGGCCAGAGATTCTTGAGGTAGCTTGTATGGATGTAGCCAGGATCACGCCAGCCGACTGTATTTGCTGGTGCACCTGGCCGAATACCACTAAGCAAATCGCAAACGCAAGAAAATTCCATACCGCACATATCCTTTTGAGTGAAGGTGAGGGTGGAGGCTGGAGCACGAAAAGCGTATTTCTCATCTTCTGGACCCCAAAGAACAAAAGGCTTTGCTTCAGAAATAGAATATCCACTCGTCCAAGTAACAGTCATCTGATGTCAGACCTTTAGAAAGTGATGTCACACAAACTATTGGATTACCTCATTCCAATCCTTGCCTAGAGCCAGTCTCGGGGAAACTGGAGCTTTGGGGTTCTTGAAGGCGACAGGTTGTGAAACAGCCACGAGAACTGGCTGCATGCAAAAAAATGCAACAGTTGGATCATTAAAGAATAACAGGTTTACCTTGTCAAGGTAGCCGCTGAACAATCCGAAAGCAAAATCTTGACGCTGGTTTATGAGTCGAAACGTAAGTTCCCCCCGTCCACTCATGGCGTATTGAGAGTCCGACATGTTGGCAAACTGATACTGTCAAAGAAAAAAACACAGCGATAAACGACAGAACAAAAAACTGCTGCTCACCTTGATTGGCGCATTGCACAACCTCGGTTCTTCACCCAGCTGATCACTCAAGCACAGTTTGGAGCTGAAATTGGACGGTGAAAATACACCAATCCAGTCAGAGCTCGAGGCTCCAATTGGCATTTGAAAGATAACTCTCACATTGTCTACGTTTACGCCCTGGAAGAACAAACATATCAAACTTTGCACAAGCAAGAAGCGAGAAAAAGGTACCTTGAGACCAAGCACTTGTGGAGAAGCGGTGATACTGGCCGAAGATTGAAGCCGAACAGCAGACCTGTGAATCGAAATCCTGGACAGAGGCTGATGTTCGTCATTTGCCGCGACCAGAGCGCCAAAGACCAATAGTACCCAAAAAGCAGCCATTCTTTGTCAATAGCTCGGAGCCAGTGCTCCTATAGCAAGCCCGTATCTAGAAAAGAAAAAGGAATTCAAAAGGTTACTGCCTGACTTTCTGCCTTCTCCAGACAAAGTCAAACCCAAAAAAAACAAGAAAAAAAAAGAGTAAAACACGAACCTGTGCTTCTAGTCGACTTGGAAGCAGTTGTTCGCCAAAAGAACATACGATGCACCGCTTCTAGGCTCCAAATCCAGTGCCTTCCTCGCAGCTCCGCCTTTCAAACCTTTCTTCTCACTTGTTTGCACCGACCCAAGCAAGCAAGCCCACTCTCGTCCATCAGGAACATAAGGCATGTTTCTGACGAGATCTTCCGCATAGCCAACGTACCCCGCACGGCCAAGCAAGTTGACCATGCAACCGTACTGCTGCTTCGTGGGATCCAGCCCGTGATCCAGCTTCATGCCCCGGAAAAAATCCCTCGCCACCTCCGCATCACCTACGTGACTGCACCCAAGAACCACGCTCGTAAACGTGATCTCGTCCGGCTCCACAGCTTCCAGTAACATCGCCTCTAGAACCTCCAGCGCTTCATCAAAATGCCCGCTGCTCGCAAATCCCGAAAGCATGCAGTTCCAAGACACCAGATTCTTCTCCGGCATCGTCTCGAAGACCCCCAACGCTCGCTCGAAACATCCTTTGTGAGCGTACGTAGAGAGCATGACGTTCCACGAGAAGCTATTCCACTCGGGCATCTGATAGAAGAGCTCCTCCACGCGCGAAGGATGCCCGTGGTGGGCATGCGCTATGAGAATGATGTTCCAGGCCACTGTGTCCACGTACGGCATCAAGGAGAACAAGCGCATGGCTTCGTCGACGTGGCCACCACTTCCGTACGCGTAGAGTATCTCCGTTAGAGTGATCCGGTCGTGCTGGGGCATTCCCTGGAACAAGCAATTGGCGAGCTCCAAATGCCCATTATGGGCATATGCGCTAAGCATTGTGTTCCACGATACCTGGTCTCTCTCTGGCATGCGATCGAAGAGCTTCTTGGCGGATGATACGTCGCCGATTCTACCAAACGACGTGATCGTAGTGGCCCAAGTGACGAGATCGCACTCCGGCATGCTCTCGAAGATCGCGATCGAGTCTTGGAATCTGGAGTGGAGCGCGTAGGCGGCGAGGAGAGCAGCGGAGGAGACGAGATCTTTCTCCGGCATTCGCTCGAAGAATCCCTGCGCGAGATCCAGGCGGTCGCTCAGCGCGTACGCGTCGATCATGGCGGCCCGGGCGATGGAGTCGTGGAGCGGCATCGAGGAGAAGATAGCTTCCGCTTCGTCGAGGCGGTGATTTCCCTGGGAGAGGGCCGAGAGGAGCGCCGTCCAGGACGCCAAATCCCACTCCGGCATGGCGTCGAAGATCATCTTTGATTCTTGGAGATTTCCAGCGGCCGAGAACGCGGCCAGCATCGCATTCCACGCGATGAGGTCTCTCATCGGCATATCCTGGAAGAGAGCCATCGATTCTTGGAACTCCCCGACCTGCGAGCACGCGCACAGCATGCTCGTCCACGAGACGAGCGTCCGCGACGGCATCCTCCGGAAGAAATCCATGGATTCTTGAATCTCCCCGGCCTGGGAATACGCCGAGACCATCACATTCCATGCGATCTGGTCGTGCACCGGCATCGTATCGAAAGCCTTTCTCGCTCGATCGAGGCGGCCGCGCTTGGCATACGCAGCGAGCATGATCGTGCTCGCGATCATATCCCAATGCGGCATGGAATCGAGCAGATCCTGCGCTTCCTGGAGATGCCCGGCATTGGCATAGGCCGCGATGATGAAATTCCAGGAGAATCGGTCCTTGGCGGTCGTGTCGGTGAAGATCTGCCGAGCCAGGCGGAGATTACCACACTGCGCGTGCATCTGGACGAGGAGATTGCGCATGAGCGTGCTGGATCCATGGCGCGGATCGGAGAGGACGGCAGCGTGCGCGATCTTGGCGTCGGCGAGCGTCTTGGAAGACCTAATAATCTCGATGGCGTCACTGGCGTTCTCTAGAACGCTTGCTCTAGGGCTCATCCGGAAGAAAGCTCTCTACTACCCTAGAGCTATGGCGCATTCTTCTGCCGAGCGATTTGTGTGCGAGATCATGTCCAAGAACGACGCGTCTCACGATTCCTCGCACGTAATCCGGGTGCGCAATCTGGCGCTGGAGCTCGCGAAGGAGGAGGGATTGACGAGCGATTCTTCTTTGAGCGTTGTGAGTAGGAATTTGAGCTTCTTCTTTGTTCGATTACTATGCTCGATCGCATTGCTGTGACACAGATCGAATTGGCGGCGCTTCTTCACGATGTCGGTAAGAAATACTTCCTCCTTTCATCGGATCGTTTCTCTTTGTTCTTCCAGACGATCACAAGTATGTCGAGAGGTACAGTATCATCTATGCGAGAATTCCAAAATTCACCGCTGCTGGTCTCTAGCTCCGAGCAAAACCGTGCCAAGGAATTCCTGGACGACGAAGGTATTGACAACGATACGAAGCACAGGGTCCTCTCGATCATAAAATCCATGGGTTGGTTCTTCTCACTGCGAGTTTCATATACTCATAGAAGAATAGCAGGTTTTAAGGAACAACTTGCAAATGGAGCAGTGGATCAAAGCCCGGAGCTTGCTGTCGTCCAAGACGCTGATCGACTGGATGCAATTGGAGCAATCGGTAAGAACTTTTCGCGGAAGAAAAAGAGAATGACTGATCTTCATTGTTGGCCTGTCTAGGAATTGCTCGATGCTTCACGTATGGTGGCAGCAGGAATCACATACTTCACGATGCATCGATCCTACCAGTTTTGGACGGGATGACTAAGGAGGAGTATACCAGGAAAGACCGCCGGCACACGATGATCAACCATTTCTACGAGAAACTATTGAAGCTCAAGGATCTCATGAAGACTGAGGTAGAGACTTCTCTGGCGTGAATGCCACTCACTGACGAAGGCTTTCTCTTATTGTATCAAACAGGCTGGTCGCAAGCGGGCAGAAAAGCGGCACGAGTTTATGGAGGCATACCTGGCCGAGTTTCTCCAGGAATGGGAAGGCTTTGCGTAGTTTCGAAACGATCTCCGCTATCGGCCGGCGACCATTGTTGTAGGTACGTGAAGCTCCTCGTGTGCCTGAGATAATGCGAGTCACAGTCACAAAAATTTTGGAAATGAGAAGACTATGCAAACCTTCGACGACAAGCAAAGCTTGAGCATTCTTTTCAGTTCTTCGTTCTGCCAACGGAGAGATTGGATCTCCCGAGCTACGACGACACTGCTCTTGATGAAACAGGGGATTAGTAGCTTGGTAGAAGTGTTTTATGACTGAGCTTACCGATCCTTGAGGACGTGATTATACTTGAGCATGGCGATGTCCAGAGCCGGCCATACGTGAACCACCTTGGGACTTATGACTTTGGCGAACTTTCTCCACTTTTCCTCCTCCTCGGTAGCTTTGATTTCTTTCTCTTTGGGCCTCTCAACCGGCGTTCTTCTTCCTCCAACTTGCAGCTTTGGGACGAGATCCTCGGCCTTGTTCTCGATCAGAAACTCCTGCAATCTCGGAATAACAGTCTCCTTCTGTATCATCCTCCCTGCCGCAGTCGTCACGAATTTCCTGAGCTTGTCCAGAGTTATTCCACTTGATATGCCCAGTGCCTGGAGGATCGCAATGCTCCTCACGAAGCTCTGGTCGTCCATCTCAAGGCCCGCGTCTAGCTTCTGGGCTTCCTCGTCCAGGATAAACGCGAGCTCGCTACACAGCATATCCAGCATTGGTTTATCGACTGCGAGAGTTATGCTCTCGGCGAGACCAGCCTCAGGGGTACTCGGCATGTTTGCACTGTCACTCTCAGCCTCCACCGGGCCTGGAGAAGCCAAGTCTATGAAGAGCTGAGGATCGGGAGGATGCCACTTCCACCCAAGGTGCTGCTCATGAATATATTGGTCAGCCTGTTTGCAAAAGAAAGTGAGTTACTCCCAAAAGCTGTGATGAAACTGTGATGAATTTGAGTACCTGGAGAACTTTGCTGACGAGAACTGCCAGGCAGTGTTGATGCATCGCATAAAACTTGAGAAACTGGTACTCGTGCCCGGCCGTGAGCTCCTGTTCTTTGCTCTGCAAGTCTTGCAGCAGCTTGGTCACTCGAGCGTAATCGTCCGCAAGCTTCGCGTTCTGCCACTTAAACTTGCGCTCCAGCTCCGCGTGCTTGGTTTTCAAGTTGGTCTGGATGTCTCTCAGTTTCGTCAGCTTGCGTTTCTGCTGGCCTGCCGTCACGTAGTTGTCGTTCTCGCGCTCGATCAGAACGCGATAGTTGTAGTCGAGCTTCTCGGTGTTCATCTGATATGCTGCCTGCATCGACTCGAGGTGCTGCTCCAGAATCTGGACGTCCGTCTCGAGCTTCACTTTCAGAAGGTTGTAATCCTCCGAGTCCTGGAGTCGAGTTTCATCCAGCGCGGCCGAGTACTCGTCCCCCCGAGCGTACAAGCTCTCCTGAAACTGCGCTTCCATGGCTCGCATCTTTTTTATCAAGCCTTCTATCTCTGCCTTTTTGCTGCAAACGAAGCCAACGTTCTTTCACTTGGTCAGTAAAAGTCGAAAGCTCTTTTACCTTTGGATGAGCTCCCAACGCTGCACAAGAAATGCGCTCTCGATCTCGTGAAACTCCTTGATATAAGCTGCTGTGAGATTGACAACCTGCTTTCCCATGGCAAGCACCAGCATATCGACGTCTTTGGTTTGTTGGATACACGCAAGGTTGTATTCTTCTGTCTTGAGCAATAGGACTTCTTTGATCTTCTCGGCAAGTTTATCTTTAGTTTCAAGTACTTGGTTGCAAGCCTGCACTAATCAGATAAACTCCAGAGAGGAAAAGGTTTGAAGTTGAAGATTTTACAGACCTTTCGTTGATTTTCCAGCTGCTCAGCGATTTGCTGAGGAACCTCGAGCGCACGTATGGCATCCCACCTTGCAGCTAATACTTGATTTTGCTGCTCACACGACATTTCAACCTCTTCTTGCGCTTGGCGAAGTTCCTACGATGTTGAACTACAGTTGAGTGGTTTTTCATCCATCTAATAAAAGAGCTAAAAAAATCTAACCTGCAATCTCTGACGATCGCATTCCTGATGATTGCACTGCTCATCATCCACTGATCCCCGGATGTGATTTAAGTCGTTCGCCAAGTTTTTCTGCAAGCTTGTGTACGCAGCTTCAAAGGTAAGAAAGATCAAAGCCAAGAAGCTACCTTCAAGAATGAGAGATTTTGCAAGCTCGATGAGAGTTGCATGAGAGCCGGGCCGGCTTCTTTCTCATCCGTATGTGTCTTGGGCCCTGGAAAACTTTTGCATTCCAAATAATGCTAAGAGATCAAGGAAATGCTCACGCTGTGTCGCTTGGCTCGACTGCAGGGCGAGCAGCCTATTTGCAATGCGCTGCCTCCGCGCTGAGATTCTAGCCTCGCGATTCGCTTGCGCGGCCTTCTGCTCGGCTGCCAAAGCGGCTACCGAATTCATCGCGGGGAGAGTCATCACCAAAGCCCTAACCCTAGAAATTTATTTTTTGAAAGTTGGCAATTTCCTTTATAGACATTTTAATATTAATTGAATTCAGCGATAATATAATAAATAGGTTTGAATAAAACACTAGAAATAATTTATTCCTTTGTAAATTTAAATTAAGCATTCATCTGAAAATTTATATTTATGAAGCAAACACCTTAAGTATTAAATCATTTGCCAAAAGTACTAAAGTCGAAGGTTCAACCTACATTGTCTAAGGACAATGGACAAACACTAAAGCCGTTAGAGTTGTTGACGAGAGTGTCCTTGAGAAGCTAAAACATTTCTCATTACACACAATTGTAGCGATTGCCTCAGCTCTTTATGAATTTCTTTTTTACTTCAAGTTGATCAAAGATTGCACTAGAAAGATAATGAAAAATGAGGGTTTTTAAGAATCACAGGCGAAATCAAGAATGTCGTTGATTTATACAATTTTATACTTGTCAAAATGCGCTCAAATTTTGTACAGTCGCTGTAAAATGTTTTCCAGGACTAAATTACTGAAAACAAGAGCCAAAAAGCTCTTTGATGTCCACCTTCCACTCCCAATCGTCGTCCTCGACACAGAAACCAACCTAAGAAAAGGCAAATGAAGAACAAAGCAAAACAAAGCATGTTAACAAAACCTCTGGCATTTCCCGGGCAACTGCTGGGGCTGTGGGAGGAATCAAACCGCGAAGTTGAAGGCGCCTCCGTGCACGTAGTTTAAAAACATCCTGCAAGGTAGAACAAAAAACACTAATACAAAGACAAACGCAAACAAAATTATTACCATGGGTGTGGATGAAGAAGCTCCATGAGCGTGAGCAGCAGCCGGAGGAGGCGATAGCACTGGCTCAGCTGGGAGGAGAGCAGCAGCTGGGAGGACAGGAGCTAGATCAGCCGGGAGAGGAGGCTGTAGTGCTGCCGGATCTGCATCAGTCTCTGGAGCGTGTGGAGCAGTCTCTGGGGTATGTGGAGCTTCATCAAGTGGAACAGCTTCGCCCTTTAGAAACCTTGGTCGTTTCCTCTTTTGCTCGTCGCATTCCAACTCTGGTGGCACAGGAGCGGCAGGCTCGATCTCTGGAGGTGGCACTGGAGCGGCAGGAGGAGGCGCTGGCAGCACTAGAGCGACAAGATCCTGTAGAGGCGTAACTGATCAGAAGCTCTGTGAGAAGGATTTCTTACATTAAGGCGCTCCTCCTCGTCATCGCATTCCATCACTGGTGGCACTGGAGCGGCAGGAGGAGGCGCTGGCAGCACTAGAGCGCCAGGATCCTGTAGAAGCGTAACTGATCAGAAGCTCTGTGAGAAGGATTTCTTACATTAAGGCGCTCCTCCTCGTCATCGCATTCCATCACTGGTGGCACTGGAGCGGCAGGGTCCAGTGGCGCTGGCAGGGCTAGAGCGGCAGGGTCCTGTAGAGGAGTGAACTGATCATGAGCTCCGCAAGAAGGATTCTTACCTTAAAGCGCTCCTCGCATTCCATCTCTGGTAGTGCTGGAGTGGCAGGGTCCATCCCTGGAAGTGGCGCTGGTAGCGCGAGAGCGGCAAGGTCCTGTACAGGCGTGAATTGAAGGAGCTCCGCAAGAAGGATTCTTACCTTAAAGCGCTCCTCGCATTCCATCTCTGGTAGCGCTGGAGTGGCAGGGTCCATCCCTGGAAGTGGCGCTGGTAGCGCGAGAGCGGCAAGGTCCTGTACAGGCGTGAACTGAAGGAGCTCCGCAAGAAGGATTCTTACCTCAAAGCGCTCCTCGCATTTCATCTCTGGTATTGCTGGAGCGGCAGATTCCATCCCTGGTCGCGGCGCTGGCGGAGCTGGAGCCATCCTTGGCAGCGGCGCTGGCGGCGCTGGAGCGGCACGATCCTGTAGACGCGAGACTGATCAGGAGCTGCGCGAGAAAGATTTCTTACCTTAAGGCGCTCGCCGTCGCCGTCGCCGTCGCCCCCCATCCCCATTTCTAGGGTTCTTCGTTACAACGGCTAGTTTTAAGATTTTGGGGAGCTTCTACAACACGCTCCCCCTGTTAGAAAACATCCCCCGTAATTAAGCAAAATGAGAAAGCTATATTACATATAAACGCAAAGAAACTACGCCATCGTCTCCATCTCCTGGCTCCTCTTCTGCGAAGCCCACTTCCATGGCGTTGCCTTCTTGGATCGAGATGGATTCCAGCTTCGCCGCCGTCCCGGCCTTGGCGTTCTCTCCAATCTCTGGGGTCTTGCAACAGAGGAGCGTCAGAACAAGCTCATTAAACAGTGCGTTCTCTCTTCTTTCTTACAATAAAGGTTTCAACACCATTAGAAAAGAAGAAGATAGCTACTTTGAACATCCTCGCTGCAATATCCCCACCATTGCACCAAAACAAAAGGGAAAGAAACAGAAAATGAATGCAGACAGGAGGTCTTTAGGAAGAGGATCCTACGTAGCAGCATTGAGGCTCTTGCTCAGGCGGACACAAAGCCAATGCCTTTGCTCTTGTTTGCCCTCACACAAGAGAATGGCCTATATGTCCCTGTAAAGAAAGCATCATCCACGGGATGGAGAACTTCGGCAAATCGAGTATACATTAACGTCGTCACTTGGTGCTTGCAAGGAGTAATGAGGCCCGCCCTTGAGGTTGGAATACAACGCGTTCGCGGCCTTTTGATGTCAAAAAAACGAACGGGGACCACTTACGAGAAGTTTGCTGCTCCACTTCCTGTGCTTCGTTGTAAATTTCTCGGCTTGTGCGTGAGGCAATGGCAATGCATTGGACAGACCAGATGCATTTCTGTTCCACGAAGGAAAGAAAGAAAATAAAGCAAAAAACAGAAGACTTAGTACCAGATGACCCATACATCTGGACTGAATGGAGTGATGCGCATTCACCATGAATACTTGGAGAGAATAGATACTATCACTGTTTTAGGCTTGTTAATATCTGGAGAACATAGATTTCAGAAAAAAGAGTGTACCAGTGAACCAGATTTTTACAGAAGTCGTTGGAAGCATTGCGCTCATGTTCCCGTTTGAAGAAGCTCTAAATTGGACTTCGACTTCGGTTCTCTGCAAAGAAAAAGACCATCAGAATCGTTGAAATCCATTGGTATACAAGCAAGGAAACCTCGGCCTTTTCACAAGATGGGGTATGTACTGAGCACTAGGAATCGTTTCACAGCCCAAAAGATTATGTCGCTGCAAGCCTCTAATGTCTCTCGATATCATTGACCAGTTCCAAAGGTTGGAGGAAGAATGTAAGAACACTCTCAATCTCAATAGAAATCCGGATCCAGATGGGAGCCGCAGTGAAAGATTTGGAAGATCAGGCTGAGCGAACTCCATGTGGTATACTTCAAGAAGAAGAAAAATACTCAGCTCTCTATGGAGCCAGAGAGCTGGATAATCCCACCACCATGTTCATATGGTCCTCCCACTCACTCCCAGTTTATAGATCACCCTGATCTCCAAAGTCTATAATATTGTAGCAACCAGGCAAAACAAATATCTTTGAAAACTTTAACTTCGTACCTTTTGTTAGTTTGCATTAAAGCGGCTTAACCCTTAGGGGAAAAGAAAAGGGTTATGGCATCGCGCAAGAGGGCGTGGGCAGGGATGTCCGGCCTTATGCCGGAGCTAGTCAGGGAGATCCTTCGCAGGCTCCCTTTCTCAGGTGTTCTAAGGGCAAGATGTGTGTGCCAGGTGTGGAGATCTGTGGTGGATGCACCCAGCTTCCGGAGCTCGTACAGGGACAGTGCCAAACTCTTCCTAGATAGCAATTCGATCCAGGACAGCAGCGGCGTGATGTTGCGATGGGCGCCGCAGCACTTTGAAAACGTGGAGAGGGATGTCCCCGACCCCGACTGGCTGTGCGCAGTGTCCCAGGACAAGCGCCTCGTCCTGGCGCGCTCCTCGCAGGAAAGGAGGCTCTTCGTCGGGAGTCCCTTCGTGGGCAAGTGGGAGGAGATCCCCTACCTGCGATTTGGGGACATGTCCAGGGTCTGCCTCTTTGCTGCCGCTTCGATTTCTCCTCCCGGGGATTACAAGGTTGTGGTGTGGTTCTCGGATGGCACGCTCTACACCTTCGTTCGCGGGCAGGTGGCGTGGATTCCTGCCAAAGGGGACGTCGCCCCTGGATCGATCCCGGTGCTGCTAGATGGTGTAGTGTATTGTACTGCTTCGCGCGATCAAAAGTGGCTCCTCCAGTATGACTTGACACGCAACAAGTTTTTCTATTCGCATCTCTATGATAAAGTTGGTGATGGTGTCTGCGTTGCTGCATGGGCCAACAAACTCTACGTGCTCGTGCTGAATGCAGAGAAGAAAGGTAGAGTGGAGGTTTGGGAAGTTCATATTGAAGTAAAAGAAATCTGGACTGAATTTTTGAGTGAGTATGTTGTGGGTTTGGAGGCTGGGGAATTTAGATTTACTGGGCAAATTGAGAGTGTTCTCAACTTTTCTTGCTCTTGCAAAGGAGGTAAGAAGAGCAAGGTTTGCTTTTCGTATGATGTGAATTCAAAGACTTGGACTAGACAAGGGTTTACTTGCTCAATAGCTGTGCCAATACAACTTGTTTACTGAGCTTTTTAAATTTATATAAACGGTCTATGAGATGAAATGAACTAAAATTTTAATGAAAAGGAATATTTTCATTTAAACTGATAATCCAATCCTCCCTGATAACCTCTTAGGTTATACAAATTGAATGTCCAAACTGCAAACGCTCTTGCTAGGTAAATGTCAATCCTCATGGGTCTTTTTGCGATGGGATTGTACTTGTGTGGGGCTAGTAGAGTGTCTTTCCACAGAAGTACATGACTGTCTTTGATTTATACCACATGCAACAAAATCAAGCAGTGTAATTCCTTATAATTGTATCAACAATTGCTGGGCTAAAAAAGGACATGGATCTGTTCATCCAGGTTAGAGCTGATTGAGTTATGGCTTACATGAGAGTAGTGATACTTAACATTTTATATAAAACCTTTGTTACAAATGAATTAAGAAAAAGTTCAAGATGAAGGAATCTCCTAAAATATGTTTGGATATTTTAGCTATAGTGGATAAGTAATTTCCTGTGTTTTTAGGGCTAGCACCAGGTTACAAATATCCGTATGCTATAGCCCTATTATTTTCTTCATTAAAGTTTTCAAAGATATTCTAAACTACCATAAAGTTTTTTGTATGATCGCTATAGACATATTATAGACTTTATTCAGAGTGACCTATAAACTGGGAGTGGGAGTGGGCAAACCATATGAACATTGTGGTGGGAGTATTCATAGACTTTAGTTTCAAGCACCCTAGACGAAAAAGAGGAAGATTAATTAGCACAACTGCATTGCT